CAAGATAAAAGAGAAACACGGCAGATATTAGACGGGGCACGGCAGATATTAGACGGGGGCTGTTGGACAGTGCCACCGTTACACCATCCAGGTTTGGCATACCGATAACGCCGAGCTTTTCTCAAGTTCAACGCTTACCAAAGTCGCATTAGAAGTCTTGTGTGGTCGCCTGACGGTCAGCAACTTGTCTCTGCATCATTGACAGCACAGTCAAGTTCTGGAACTCATTGAATGGACACCGGGTCGGTCAACCTTGCACCGGTCACACTGCATACATCTACTCGCTCGCCATCTCGTCTGATGGCTCCTTCATTGCCACTGCCTCGGATGACATGACTGTGCCGGCTGTGGAGCACAAAGACACACCGGCACATAGGTCAGCCATTCAAACACACCTCGAGCATTAGGTCTGTCGCGATTTCTCCCAATGGAGAAATGCTCGTCAGTGGAGATTACACAGGACAGGTGCTGCTCTGGTCTATCAAGCAGATACTTGAGCAACACAAGGCGGGACAAAGAACAAAGGTTGATGAAGGAGTACGTCGACACCAACTCATTGGTGTCAGTGACACGCAGGTATGCTATCACCCATTATTTCTAGTCTGTTGTTCATTCATATTGCTTTCGGCGGCGGCACACAGCTGCGCTGTCATGACACCGACGACGAGCTCTGGGGCAATAACGACGGTGCAAGTCACCATTCTTCGCAACAAGCATCTGGTAGTGACGACAACCCTTCATTATTTGACGTGAGCTGCCTTCAATCTGTATCCTTATCACGGAACATGAGCTTGCTTCATGCAGATCCCTGTTATAAACACGACGCTACCCGAAGAGCTGTCCCAAGAGACTGACGCAGATGACAACTACGACTCACATGCCAACGAGGAAGACGATGTAGACGAATCGATTGAAGATGACGAGGAAGTACAGCGACTCCTTCCTCGTAGTGACACGCACGTATGCTCTTTTCCATTTTTGTTCCGCTTTTCTATTTATTATACACGACAAACAGCTGCTGGTGCACAGTCACGAGAACGAACACGAGCCCACCGGCGATCACGACAGTCTAAGCAATCATCCCTCAGATACTGACCAAGCCTCTGGCAGTGACGACAATCTCTCGTTGTTTGACGTGAGCTTTTGCCTTTGATGCATCTACTTACCACGCAATGCGAGCTTTTTTCATGCAGATCCTTGCTATAAACAAGACAGTCCCGCAAAGCATGCATCAGCGATCTGCACATTGCTGAAGACCTGCTGACCAAAGAGATCGACGCAGATGGCAACAACCACCACGCGTATGCCATGCGCTCGATTGTAAGGGCGCGAAACTCCGAGTGGGACCAGGCACTTCAAGATTCAGCCAAGGTCAGACGCTCTGCCTATCATAACACGTTTGACTTTAATCTTACTTGGCGACATAGTCCATCGCTGTCCAGCCCTCGTTATGGGGCTACATTTCCAAGGGCAATCGCGCTCTGCGGCAACGACCAGATCTACGACGCGATGGAAGCTTTCGATCTCGCTTTTGTATTTCTGAATCGAGTTTCGATGACAATTGATCTCTTACTATTGATCAAGGTACTCATCGCTATGTTTGTAGTCAGTCTGTCGTACTCAGACTTTGGTGTCATTTTGTCCAGGCTGTTGCACTCTTCAATGCCAGTCGCCACGATGAGGCAATGCGGCGAGTTCAAGACCTCGCCACCGCTTGTCATCACTTGGATACACTTCCGTGCGGCGTTGTCAACGTGAGCTTTGCGTCATACTTCATGAGTTTTCTCGCTTTCAAACACACTCTCCAGTCATATCTACGCCTGCAGCTTGCAATGATTGCTTTTGAGGACGGGCGGTACAACGAAGTCGCCGATCGGCTCAGTATACCCGACTTATTCTCTAGCAAAGTCCTTGTTGAACCTAGATGGAAGATATTCACAGTGGTGAGTCATTATGAAGCTGCAGAATATACTTCCACTGATTCAAGCTATGTTGGACAGCTCTTCGGCTGGGACTTGGACTCGTTGTGGCAAACAATCGACCAAAGGCGGTGTGATGCTCTCCTCCGCGTTGATCGAGTGATCGAAGCGGTTGAATCTCACCAATACACGATGAGCATGATTGACGAGGATGTGAAAAGAGAGCTACCTCGTATGGTCCACTGGTGGGTACTTTGGGGTCATATACGACTTCAATATCGACACTTACTCTAAGGCCGTTTAGCCTTCAAGAAAAACTGTACTGCGCGCTGTCTCGCAAAGGGAGATGAGGCTGTTGCTGCAAGCAATTACGAGGCGGCTATCGAACTGTATTCGGCAGGAATCGGGCTTGACTCCTCGTGCGAGTCCCTGTTTGCGCACCGCAGCAAGGCAAATTTGGAACGAAACCTCTATGTGCAGGCCCTTTTCGACGCGGAGAAGGTGCAGATATGATGTCCATCATTGGTATAGAATTTATACTGACACCGACAATGCATAGCTCATCGAACTCAATACTTCTTCTTGCCTGGGATACCAACTAAAGCATGCAGCGCTTCACGGCGCACGGCGCTACGATGAAGCAATCAAGGCCTTCAAAATGATGCTCTCGAAGTCAGATGATACACACGACGCGCAGATCCAAAGTAAGCCCGAATCCCTCATCCATCACCGAGAACATCATGAACGCCTTCTCCAGAGCTGTGTCAGCAGAATGTCAATCCGTCTGACATCAAAAGCACTATTCGACGAGCCATTGACGCTAAACTTGAAAATGCCCCGCTTCGTCTACTCAATACGTCCACTGGGCGTATATGCACTCGAGAGGCACAGATCAGAGCCTTCACAGAAAGCACAGAGTACAAGGAGCTTGTATTTTCATCCTATAATGTATGCGCCCATCCAAGCGGAGCATATCCAAGCAGTCGTCGCGAAGTACTTCGGTTGGGCCATGTTATCGCATAGGTGGCAAGGCAATGAGCTGCTGCTGCATGACATCCAGGACAAGATCGTGTATGATTTGGATGCAGTCGGAACCACAGTGAAGTTGCAGATGTTCTGCCAAACTGCTCGCGATGCGGGCTACCGCTGGGCGTGGAGCGATACATGCTGCATCGACCAGAACAACAGTTTTGAGCTCCAACGATCCGTCAATGCCATGTTTATCTGGTATCGCAACTCGGCTCTTACAATTGTCTACCTGCCGGATGTTCTGCCTTCAGCACAGTCAGGCTCACTCGCAAAGAGCGCTTGGAACACGCGAGGGTGGACTGTTCAGGAGTTCCTCGCTCCGAATGTCATTCTCTTCTACCGAAAAGACTGGACTCCATATCTCAATGACCACTCTCCTAATCACAAAAAATCTATTGCTATCATGAAGGAATTGGAGGATTCCACAGGCATAGGTGTACAGGCTCTCATCGCCTTCCGTCCGGGGATGAGAGACGCTCGAGAGAAACTTCAATGGGCGTCGAAACGTGCCACGACTGTACCGGAAGACATTGCATATTCACTGTTTGGCATATTCGGCATCCACCTCCCTGTCATCTACGGCGAGACGAGGCAGAATGCACTCGGCCGGCTCTTGCAAGAGATCATAGCCCAGTCGGGCGATATCACTGCCCTGGACTGGGTCGGAACATCGTCCCCGTTCAATAGCTGTTTGCCAGCCGAGATTGTCTCGTACCATTCTCCGTCATGCATGACGCCACCTCTATCAGACGATCAGACACAGATGCCAATCTCGTCGCTGCAAAATGCCACTGTCGTGGAACAGGCACTGACGCTGTATACCCGGCTTGACCACCTCAGCGCTCCTCGTTTCGCGCACCGCAGACTGCAACTGCCTTGCATTGTATTTCCTATCACAGAAGTCAGGCGAAGTCGTGGTCAAGACCAGGAGACATGTTTCACTTATTATGTCAAAGCAAACGGGCTTAAAGACCTGGTGATCACCACGGAAGCCAGACTGGGTCAATTCTTGCAGGGAAGGCCCAGGCCAGCAGACATTCATGCTCGTCCGTCCGTGGAATCTTCATGACCTCGGGCTGCCCGACTTTGCGGACGATAGGACCATGAAAACTTTGTCTATGCCCTGGTCTATGTCAGATCATTCGCTGTATGGCTCTCCTGAAGCATATGCGCCAGCTGATTTGGAGTCGCACGCGCGAGCGTCAAGGTTGATCGCTCGCCTCGGACAGCGTTTTGGCGCACTTTTGCTAGCGCAGCAGCGTGTCGGGGAGTACAAGAGGATTGCTTCGGATCACAATATCATCGCGCAAGTCAAGGACGTGACTTCTGTTCGTGACATGATGGACGTCAGGACGCTAGAGATATTGTAGACTCATTCTTGTCGAAGGACGGAGATCCCCTGACGCGTTTTCATTCATACCTTCACAGTACCTGTGTGAAACAATATCCCTTTGTAACATAGTCCGCGATCTGTATCTAGACATGCTTGAGTAGCATTGATCCGATGTGCACGAAGGTCAATTGAATTTTACATGTAGATGTCACTCGTCAATACACTGTTAGGTCTACAACGCCGAAATGAGTATCCCGCTGTCCCCGCTGACTTTCTCTCACAATCCTTCTCTTTCACCGGTTGTAAAAATCCTAAAATGCATATCATTGTGAAGGCTTTAACAAGCTGTGTGATATTGCATACCTTCATGACAACGGCGGCTTCTTGGACTACGTTTACGCAAGATTCCGCCGCACTCGATGAGAATCCCTGTTTGGCTGATGACATTACTTGGCTTTGACGCTCCTCCGAACAAGATCGACGACGACCTCCGACGCGTATCATGCCCGGAATTGTCAATGATGTACACTGCAGGAATTAGTATAGGTCACTCTTTTGAGCTCACTCAGCAAAGCATACATCTTATTCAAAAGGATATCTAAGCACTTTTGAAGGCGAAGGTTGATATTCCGCAGTGCGACCCATTGTACCTCAGGCAGGGACAGTAACACTGGTGCCATAGTGCAGATCGGCTGCTGAACGAGATTGTCTCGTCGATCGTTGCGTGTTGAATCATGATGGCCTTGATATGTGGATACTCACTATGTACGTGCTAGAATTGAACCACAACGCGCTAGCAGGTCACTGCTGAGGTGGTTTGGCATAATGGATGCCCTATGTCCAGAAACCCTGCGGGATGAATTCGAAGAGATTCGAAGCCAATCAAAAGTCAATTGAATTATAGAGATCGTCACAGGTTCGAGTCAACGTGCTCCAATGCCCGGGCTTGTACGGTGTTAGTAGATGCCAATATTAATATGTTCAATATTCAAGTCGTTTGGTCGCGAAGAACACGTGACAAGTAATTGCGGGGAACTCCCGAAATGGATACAGTCATCCACTGGCCGATGGAAATTCGCAACCATGGACGAATAGTTTTAATGGCTGAGCATTGCTGTAGCGATCTGATCTCCGGATGTTGTGCACAATAGCTCTCTCCTTGCCTGACCGTGAATTAAAAGTGCGCTCTCAAACACAATACTGGGTTAAAAATCGGTACAAGTACATCGGGAAGAACACGTCTTGAAATGAACCGCATGCACTAAGCGCCCTCCTTCTCATGAAGCTCTCCGTCCAACTCATCCTCGCTGTCGTCAGGTTCCGAGTTTCTCTTCCCCCACAAGAACCCATAAAGTCGCGAATAGAATGGCGACGGGAGGATAGAAACAAGCAGATACGCGAAAAGCAGGGCAAAAGTCACTACGGTCAAAACCTGAGCCAAATCCGAAGAGGATAGGAAGCCGTCACAGATATAGCTAGTCAGGATGCACTGATTAGGAACCAAAACGAGCGGAGGGCAAGAACAAAAACATACCGAAGAGGAGTAGCAGTAGAGATATAGCGAATGTATAGATAGGAATCGAGAGAATCATGATATGACATAGGAAAAAGCCATCTATTTCGCTTCAAGGTCTGTTTGGGGTCAGTATGTACGAGCTGGCAGGGGCTTTTACGCCTGCTCACCTTGAAGGTTTTCTGCTGTTGATAACTCTGCCCCACGACGGAGATATAAAGCTGGAACAACAGACCCAAACAACGAGAACACCAATGATTCTGATAGAAGTGTATACGGTCCGCCAGCATCGTAGTTTACTATTTGTTGCAGAGGCGCCCCAGTGGAGATGAAGACTGCGACAGTCGTAAGGAGCAATCCTTGCTATCCACAACGATAAGGAAAGGTCAGAGCACTACAACATCACCGGACATACCACAGTGCTCAGCTGATTGAGCTGAACGAGGTATTTAATATGGAAGCTTTCCCAACCCTTAGGTTCTTGGAAGATCTCCCACATGAAATCCAAATTTGAATGAAGCGTTAAGCAAAAGCACATCACGTGGAAGATCAAACGCGGGACAAATGATTTAGGAGGTTTCCATCGAGTGGGGAGGGACTTAGTTGGCTTAGTCGGCTTCTTATGGGATCTGTGTTGTTGACGGGGTCTCCTCGTTAGCGTCTTGAGCTGGGGATTTCTTGAGGGTGTCGTATGAGACGCTCGCAGACATGGCGAGGGTTAGGAATCAAGAAGGTTAGAAATGAGGAGAATAGATGGATGGATAGTGAGGGTTTCAAGCGTCTGGCGCTCTTGCATGTTGCAGATTATATCATGTTTGAGTGGCGCACAGCAATGTCAGTATCGAGTCACGCTAACAGCAAATTGCCCTTTCTGAGGCAAGTCAAACACCGGTATGTTATCTCATGGACGTGGAATGATGACCGCTGGGCGCCCATGCCACTATACGACAGATATATCGATCCATACCAACTTTGGTGAAAAAGGGTTGTTGACTTGTGAGGATGACAAGTCAGACAACCCGTCCTACTGATGGTGGCGGTCGAGTATGGGCAAGTTATCTCGGATGGGTTCGTTTTTGACTGACATACATAGTCAAGAGATCGCAGATAAGTAATGGTAATGAAAGGTCCCCAGGGGAATTTACGTACGACTCAACACATGCCCAACCTTCTTCAAGGAGTCAGGCGCTGGATTGACCTTGGTCGTTCTATAATTTTTTTCCAGTCTAGGGTCAGTCCAATCAACTTCGAGCACTTAGAGTCCTGGGCCCGAATAGCACGCAAGATACAGCTGCGCGCTACGCCTGGATCCGTATCCTGTGACGAGATCTGTATAATGACCTCCTGTGGGTGTTGCTGAAATAGTTTTATGTCAAAACGCGCGTTTAAAGAACGCGGCGGCCTGCAGCAAACGATCAGACTCAGCTCCGCAGCAGTCCGTTCGGGGGAAACTATTTCGACTAAAAACAACCAGGGTCGACTTGGATGGGATGGTCGCATAAATCACCAGACGTGGCAGTGGCATTGATAGCCCCCATAACGCAGTTTGCTAGCTCCGAGTCCGACTGTTCCATCGTACGATGTTGTTTGCTAGTACTACTAATATGAGACGTTGATGTATAAGATGTAGAGCTCTGGGAACGTCAGTGAGTGGAAGCACAACCCAGCTCAGATAGACGACTGCATCTGACGCTGTGCCGTAATCATGAAGCGGGCTGTGTGAAGTCAGCGTGACGCCTCAAATTCTATAAACGTGAGGACTTAAGGGCAGAAACCTCGTGCGTTGTAGGAGACTGGTTCTAAAGGAGTCCACTGTATGAGAACAAGGTATGCATTGGGGGAATCCCGCGTACTATGTACTGGATGCGACGGGCCCAGTGGGCTAGGAAATCACAAACAGAGATCTGTTTGAAATGAACAAGATGCCGGTTCGGAGCCTGCCGGAGAATCAGCATCACGCGTCCAACTGAGGCGAAACGCCTTTGACTTCACCTTTGTATGATCGTGTAGTCTAAGGGAAGAAAGAGAGAGGAGGTTGAGTGAGACAACGCGACTGTTTAGTTTACAGCTATTTTCATATCGATAGACCAGAATCTGGAAAACTCATTTAGCCGCTTTATTTGTTGTTGGAGGGACACCAAACAGAGGCGCGCACACTAGCTACTTTTATGAATCTTTAACGTAACTTGGGGCTTGTGTGGCAATGCGGGGGCAGTGACGAGACCCTGGAATCGTACCGCACGCACTGACCTGCGACCAGCCGCACATGGTGCACCGTGGTTATTACCAACTGCAGGTGACCTTGTCAAGCAAAATAAAGCCCTCGCCGTGAAAGACACCGTAATGTTGTCAAAGGTAAGGTTTGCTCATCATCAAATGGGCTCCACTTAGTTTCTGCAACCCTGGCATTCTAGCGAGATTGTCGTCTCTTCGTCTCCGTCGAAAACAATGGTTTTTGGATCATCTGACAATGTTGATCCATTACACAAATATATTTTACATACATGCTTGTGAGTCAATCCATGCCTATGTAGTGTTCGTTCGATGGTGGCAAGAGACACCTCAATTCCCGTAGAGCACTTTGTAGTTCAGATAGAAATATGTCAGGAGTGCGCTCGACACATGAAATAAGGTACTGTCACAGTTAGGTATTAAATTCAAAATACTTTTGTGCCTTCCCTTACTGCAACGTCCTGTGCTGTAAGTAGACGAGGACGACCAATTTCCAGAGGTTTTCGAACGACAGAGCCTGTGAGTTGTGAGAGCCGAAGAACTCGATCGACTGTTCGATGGCTGTATCCTGTCACTTGCGCGATGGCCTTCGATGTCATGCCATGTGTGGACATAACAACCCACTGCTGCTTCACAGCATCTGGTATATGTCGCCGATTTCCGTGCATCATGATGATGGTCGGCAGTCGTCGTACTAGTATTCCACAAGCAAGTTATAAAAGTAGCTAGTGTGCGCGCCTCCGTTTGGTGTCGCTCCAACAACAAATAAAAGCGGCTAAATGAGTTTTCCAGATTCTGGTCTATTGATATGAAAATAAGCTGTAATATGTTCAATATTCAAGTCGTTTGGTCGCGAAGAACACGTGACAAGTAATTGCGGGGAACTCCCGAAATGGATACGGACATCCACTGGCCAATGGAAATTCGCAACCATGGACGAATAGTTTTAATGGCTGAGCATTGCTGTAGCGATCTGATCTCCGGATGTTGTGCACAATAGCTCTCCTTGCCTGACCATGAATTAATAGTGCGCTCTCAAACACAATAAGTACTGGGTTAAAAATCGGTACAAGTACATCGGGAAGAACACGTCTTGAAATGAACCGCATGCACTAAGCGCCCTCCTTCTCATGAAGCTCTCCGTCCAACTCATCCTCGCTGTCGTCAGGTTCCGAGTTTCTCTTCCCCCACAAGAACCCATAAAGTCGCGAATAGAATGGCGACGGGAGGATAGAAGCAAACAGACACGCGAAAAGCAAGGCAAAAGTTGCTCCGGTGAAAATCTGAGCCGAAGTCGAAGAGGATAGGAAGCCCGTCACAGATATAGCTAGTCAGGATGTACTGATTAGGAACCAAGAAGAGCGGAGGGCAAGAACAAAAACATACCGAAGAGGAGTAGCAGTAGAGATATAGCGAATATATAGATAGGAATCGAGAGAATCATGATATGACATAGGAAAAGCCATCTATTTCGCTTCAAGGTCTGTTTGGGGTCAGTATGTACGAGCTGGCAGGGGCTTTACGCCTGCTCACCTTGAAGGTTTTCTGCTGTTGATAACTCTGCCCCACGACGGAGACATAAAGCTGGAACAACAGACCAAACAACGAGAACACCAATGATTCTGATAGAAGTGTATACGGTCCATCAGCAGCGTAGTTGATCTGTTTCAGAGGCGGAGGAGTGGAGATAAAGACTGCGACAGTTGTAAGGAGTAATCCTTGCTATCAAAAACGATGAGGAAAGGTCATAGCACTACAACATCACCGCACATACCACAGTGCTCAGTTGATTGAGCTGAGCGAGGTATTGAATATGGAAGCTTTCCCAACCCTTAGGTTCTCGGAAGATCTCCCATATGAAATCCAAATTTGAATGAAACGTTAAGCAAAAGCACATCACGTGGAAGATCAAACGCGGGACAAATGATTTAGGAGGTTTCCACCGAGTGGGGAGGGGCTTAGTTGGCTTAGTCGGCTTCATATGTCGCTTATGGGATCTGTGTTGTGACGGGGTCTCCTCGTTAGCGTTTTGAGTTGGGAATTGCTTGAGGGTGTCGTATGAGACGCCCGCAGACATGGCGAGGACTAGGAATCAAGAAGGTTAGAAATGAGGAAGATGGATGGATGGATGGATGGTGAGGGTTTTAAGCGTCTGGCGCTCTTACACGTTGCAGATACGCATGTATATCAATTATTTGAGCGGCGCACAGCAATGATAGCATCGAGGCACGCTAACCGCAAATTGCCCTTTCTGAGGCAAGTCAGACACCGGTATGTATCTGAGGGGCGTGGAATGATGAGCGCTGGGTGCTCATATCGCTATACGACAGATATATCAATCCATACCAATTTTGGTGAAAAATGGGTCATGACTTGTGAGGATAACAAGTTAGACAACCCGTCCCACTGATGATGACGGTCGAATATGGGCAAGTTATCTCGGATGGGTTCGTTTTCGACTGTTATACATAGTCAGGAGATCGCAGATAAGTAATGGTAATGAAAAGGTCCCCGGGGAATTTACTCGACACATGTCCAACCTTCTTCAAGGAGTCAGACGCTGGATTGACTTTGGTTGCTTCATAATTTTTTTCCCAGTCTAGGGTCAGTCCAATCGACTTCAAGCGCTTGGAGTGGGCCCGAATAGCACGCAAGGTACAGCTGCGCGCGCTACGCCTGGATCCTTATCCTGTGACGAGATCTGTATAATGACCTCCTGTGGGTGTTGCTGAAATTATTTTTACGTCAAAATGCGCGCGTTTAAAGAACACGGCAACCTGCAGCAAACGATCAGACTCAGCTCCGCAGCAGTCCGTTCGGGGGAACTATTTCGACCAAAACTAATGGGATGGTCGCATAAATCACCAGGACGTGGCAGTGGTATTGACAGCGTGCCCCCATAACGCAGTTCAAGCTAGCTCCGAGTCGGTGAGTGGAAGCACACCCAGCTCAGATAGACTGACGCTGTGCCGTAATCATGAAGCGGGCTGTGCTTGAAATGAGCAAGGTGCCGGTTCGGAGCCTGCCGGAGAATCAGCACCACGCGTCCAATTGAGCGAAATGCCTTAGACTTCACCTCTTTCATATTCGAAATCGAACTATTTGCAGTGTGCACAACGGACTCACAACCCTAATTCCTAACCTTCACTTACTTATCCTCATTGTTATTGTGGCATTTCGTCACATACATTCCTTCTTTCCCTCCCACCCACCGCTATCTTATCAAGCAATGGATTAATTTGCATTCCTGGTCAACTAATACATTCCTGATCGTTTTTGCATGACATCACACGAAATCGCTGTTTGTTTGCCCGCCCACCCAGCGGCTCAATCCTTCAGCGTCCAGCCCGAGCTAGCCCCTCGGTCACAGCCCAACCTCACGATGCCTTCGCATTCGATCTCTTCGTCCCTTGGCAACAGTCGAAGTTGGAACAGATTTCTCTTCATCATGAGCCACTCGGCTGCCAGGAACGTTGTCTCCAGTTGCTGAGGCCCTGACATAGAACCTGGAATCGAGCAAAAAAACATCGACCATACTTGGATGTCGTGGTGCAGCTTGGATTTGGGTCCAATACTAGACCGCTCGGGAATTCCACACCGGAGTGGCCCAAATCAGAGACTCAGAGTTTGAAAATTGAGAAACCAAATGTATATCAATTCCAATGCCTAACGCGTTGACATCGTGAACTCTCGTGTAGGTGCAACACGTCTGAGATCTGAGTAGTAGAGAACAGTGATGAAAACAAGATGAAAACAAGTTCAATTCACGCAGTCGGCGCTTCCCGAGTACTATCGTATCAGTTAGACTGTTACGACCCCACATATCATCTTAACCATTTCACCAGTAACTCACCATCAAACCTATATCTTTGCGAGAACATGAGTAGTACTAACATGAACGACTCCTCTGCAACTCCAAAGGTCTTCCATACACATGTTCATCCAGATGCTGACAAGGATTTCCGAGCTATAGCAGCTTCCAGTGAATATCTAAAAGCGCAGAAGAAGCAATTTCGCATGCAATGTACACAGCGTGGCACGACATTGGAGAAACCTCGGAAATGCTCAAAGGTAATGTTCAACTATTTGAATACTGTTACGGACATTCATTGAGCACTACTTTTAGTGTAAGAGCGGTTGGTACTGCTCAGAAGAGGTAAGTAGGATTTGCGCCTGGGATGAACTCGAAGTTGAAGCGCTTCGAACATTATGTGTAGTGCCAAAAGAAAGCCTGGTGAGAGTGCCCAGATCGCTGCAGACTTGGACTCACCCCATGATACTAGGCCCACCCACAAACTGTCATGCCGCAACGTCGAGCGCTCCTCGGGGGCATTCAAATTCATACGAATGTTTGCTTTAAATCCATTGCTCATGAGGTTCCTCCGAGCTGGTATCATCTTCGACTGTGGCCTGCTCGACGATCCCCGGATCGGATTCGACGTGCCGTTTGTGGCACGTGTTGTCATCACTATTGAGCCGAGCGACATCCTCGACTTTATTGGTTTGTATCTTGATCACAAGACCGTTGGGCAGAGGCTTCAGGGGATGGTGCAAGTCAATGCCATCATTCCGTGCCACCCAAGCACGTTTCCCCTTATGCCGAAGCGGCTACAAATTTGGCGTGAGGAGCGAGCAAAGTGTGATGCAGATGGTTTCGCCAATGATCCTGTTGGACTCCTAGAATATGTCGATGGTACTACCTATGCAAAGGACTCATGCCAAAACACAGTAACCAGTGGTTTGTATACCCCCACTAGCGTCTTTGACTGGGCGAGGAGACGTGAGCCCTTCATACGTTACACTGCTGTCACGGGCACTCCGTCCAAGCAACCCATGAATGCTGTGGCGTGTCTAGAGTGGGTTCTCCATAACCGTTCTCATTCCCCTTATCAATACCTTGTGTAGGTATATCAACGTGCATATTAGGGAGGATACGCAGAACCAGTTGCGTTTACGGACCGAGATGACAGAGCAAGACAAGGAAATTGTCCGCGCTGCAGGTCGCAACGAGGACGCACTTCCGGATCCCGCTCGCATACTCAAAGAGAAGATGCAAAGGGAATCTGTATATACTAATATCGTGCATTTGACACGATAAATAGTTACATGTGAGTCTATATATTTTCGGCGATTTTCTTTCTGAACTAGAAAATCACAAGTTATCAGTGGGGTCCTCTCTATATCTGCCTATGCCGAGCATCTGCCCTTGTTAATAGTGTCGATCCAAGTAAGTCAGCGGAGAAGCCAAAGAAGATGATCACTAGGAATAAATTGGTTACAGCGTTGAGGTGCAGATACGCCTTGCATAAGTTGTATCCTCTCGAGTGACTGACCTGCTATGTAACTCAACTTCCACTGATGGTCATAGGTTAAGTGTTGTTTCAGCGTTACATTTGGGACCACAACAAGAACATATGTCTGTCTCTGCAGAATGCGAATAATACACGACGTATCTGTGGTGCCATCCACGCGCGCGATGTATTCGAGGTCCATGAGTTTGTTGATCGCCTAAAAGCAGGATCAGCCGACATTCTAGCGGAGAAACGAGGAGTACTGACCTTCTTGATATCAGGAATGTTGGGGGCAAATCGCTGCGAAAGATGAGAAATCACCTCCTGAAATAAGGCTCGGTTTTTTATCGTCTTGCGCGCCTTCATTATTCGAACGATGGTCTCCTGAATCACATATTTACGGTCTTCTCCGACAGCTTTAAGCACCTCCAAGCTCTCAGCCTTCACCTCAGCCTTAAGCGGTTGGTTCAGGGGGACGTGGATTTTCTTGAACTTGAAGTCTGAGAGGGCGGTATTAGCATTACGGGAATGCGACACAAGCGAAACATACTCGGGTTCAAATCATATTGGTAGATGTTCTCGTTGATCAGGATCTTGGCCTTCACCAAGGACGCAAGAACCTGCAATAAAATTTCCTTGCTGATAGCCGTTGCGGTAATCAGCTCCTCCGACGATAACGTGTCGTGTGCATTGTATTGCAGGAGCACTGCCATTTGGTAAGAACTGGTCATGAGGGTGTACTTCTGATTGAAATAGTTCATCCCGAGTTCGGTTGTCGAGTAATTCCAGAGCCATATGAGCTTCCTACTAAAATGCCTCGTCTGGTAGAACTTGGAGAAGCGGTCGTACGTACGAAGATCTCGGGAGGAATGATGAAATTGCTATCCGGTGCCCTAAGGGGCCAGAAGTCCGTACCAAGAACCATGACGCAAAAAGTTCATGTCATCATTCTGCATACGCTCATTAAGTGCAGTAAGGTCTCGCAACCATCAGGGTTACGATATAAAGTGGGAATATGAGAGACGTTGGGGAGATGGTAATACTTTGTTTGCGCTGACTCAGCCTTACTATGCTTCAAATCACGTCAATGGCCAAGGCCTGGCGTTACTCAGCTGGTTGGATCTGTTGATTTCAAATTTCATACTCGTGAAATGATTCCTTGTTGAAGAGGAAGTTGTTTACTAGTAGTGATTTCTCCACCACAAGTATCTTGTTGATGAGCAGTGGAGATCGAAGCCATCCTCAGAAAACTGCCTGAGGCCTGATGACTTCGCCCGATTCGGGGCTACACTGTAACAACCTCTGTGCGCGTGACTATGTCAGGTTCTTATTTTATATAGCAACGGATGATCGCATAGCTAGATAATTGCTCGTTATGACACTCAGTGAACTAGGTGTCACAGTGGGAATGATCCTCGTGAATGCGCGCTTTTATCGCCAGTTAATCAGAGAACCCGAGTCAAGGTCTCAAGTAGTAGCACTGATCCCGCTAACCAGATCTTTCATTGCTTGTTCACATCAGAGCGCTTCCCTGAACGCACAGCAAACACAAAAGCCACATCAACACTGCTTACAAGTACATACATCTCAACGCAAAAGCATCGACCAAGCCGTATCATATCTGGTTTCTGATAGGAATGAACCTCCAGTACCCCACATCGCCAACGGGATCGCTCTGGAGACCAACCTGAAAAACAAAGTAAGATATCGTCGTTCAAAAGTGCAAATGAAGTATCGCACCTTTGTTCCATCAGCCCCATCATATAGGAACATGGTCTTGCCTAAATGACTCCTGACGCTGAAAAGACAGGTTAACCATACAAGACCCGCGACTATGTGCAGCATACTCACAAAAACTTGCCAAGGTTGCGGTATGATAAGCCCCATTCATAGGGTTCGTCCATGAGAACGACTTGCCCGTCCTTTGGCAAAGCATTAGCAAGGACATTGGAATAAGCGAACTGAACTCACCACAACACCAATGTAGCGGTTGTCGGACGTAGAGATAGTGATATAACCATCACCAAATTCACCTATTCTGGCTTTGATGTTCCACTGCGGGGACGATGAGAAGTGAATACTGGTGAATCTTGAACTTACCTCGATGCGTGGATCAGGTGTGCCTTCTTGACGTCCAACAACATAGACATCGTCACGAAGTCCTATGTGTTGCTCAGGGTAGTAAACATTCTGGAGTTGGTGTACTCCGTCGTATGGAATCACAGGCATCGTGATGTGATAGTAGTTTGAAAGATTAGTCAATAGTGAAGAGCTTTCCAAGAAGATGGGAAAGTACCCTGTGGCGGACTGATGCCTTTATACTTACTGTGGTACTCAGGTTCCGGGCGGGGAACTCGAGATTGGCACTGGTGCAGGCAAATTACGTGCAGTCCATTCCTGAAGGAGTATGGGCTACTGACAGCTTGCATGGAACAAAAGATACTCGTGTAAGTTGCGCGAACAGCAAGCGAGTAGTTTGTCAAGCAAGGTACGTAGAACTTACCAACAAGATCTCGTAAATCAAGCGCCATTTGGGGCCTCACCCTAGTGGTGGACTGAGGACAGCAGGTCTGGAAGCCTACACGTTGTGTTTTATTACGTGCCGTCCATTCATAAGGAGTATGAAATGATCTGACAGCTTGCATGGAACACATGATATTCGGATAAGTCGCGCGAATAGCAAGCGAGTAGTGCCTGTTACTGTTACATACCATTCCTCAAGAAAATTACCAACAAGCTTTCGTAATTAAGGTTGATGTTGGGGCCCCAACGATAGAAGGTAGAAGAATAGGAAGGACTGCAGAAACGTGCCGTCCACATAAGCAATGCATTACAGTTGACGTTCATGTAAGGGACATCAACAAAAGAGCCCGAAGCATGCAAGGCCTTGTGAAGCTTACATGAGCATGTGAACTGTGATTTAGCTTTTAAGACATATGCAACTTGTACACAAGGTCTTACATTGCGACATATATATATGAATATATGCTTCGGGCAGCATATACGGTTCAGGCTCTTTTGTTGATGGAAATGGAAGAAGTGAATTGAAAGATCCACTACGTCACCTTCACGCACCAGCGTCTTATATACATATATGCTGATGCTCCTTCCTGCATCGCTCAGCACCGAACCAGCAATAGCGGAGAACTTGACATGGAGACTAGCGCTGTTGATATAGTCGTATCCAAATATGGGCACGCCGTGCGACGTACGAAAGGCTTGGATGGGTAGATTTGTAAGCCCGTTGGCTTACCTGAGTTCCCATAACCAGCATAAATACTGGATGACTTTCCGTAGGCTCGAAATATATAGATTATAATATCATATCATAAATTTGACTACATTAGGAAGGTGTGCCGCGATGCCGCTGTTCATTTGAGGTGAATTTGCAAACGAATATTTTTTGCCCCCCTCTTTCAAACCTTAATTCTATTTTTGATCTGTAGGGGGGGTACCCCCCCCCCCCCCCCTACAGACTTGAATATCCGCCTTTCGTCCGTTTTAGGCCACTAACGCCAGCGATATTCGCTGACGTAATATGCATTGCTCAATGTGCGTGGCACCACTCGAGGTCACACAAAGGTGCGTCGTCAACATCTTGCCAACTTTGTTGACGCATTTTTCTCCCTCGTCTGTTTAGACTTTAATACCAAGTCCTTAGTACGAAACTACGACCTGACTACGCTGCATCGGCCTGTGCCTCCCATCCCACGCAATATCAGCCAGCGGCTGGCTCAACCAATCCCCACCCTCCGTCAACGAGATGATCATCGCGAAGGATGGGTGTCTCATACCAGAGTTGGGCAAAACCTGTGGTGAGCAGCGAGGTGAAGGTAGTTACATCAATACCCATGGTAGTAATAAACGCTCAGTCGTTCTGGCTGTTGTATAACACCTGCCAAGGGGTGTTGATGTGAGGATTGGGGAGAAGCTGGGGTCAGCAAAGGTATGAATGATGGGGGTTCCGTGCGTCAATGCGCTCTTGCCGTGATACCTCGATCCCACAAATGAGGGCTGCAGCTACCACCTGAGCTCCTTCGTCGTCATGAAAAAGTTCTGCCTCGTTGTCATTGAGAAGCTGGTACTGCATTGCAAGATTGTCCATTGAGGACTGGACTAAATCTAAAGAACTAAGCGTACGGGGGATTATCGTTGCATAGATTAAATTGTTGACAGGATTGCAAATTTATTTCAGGCTCCGAAATAATCTATTCCGGATTATTTAGCCTACGGAAAGTCATCCACTGTCCGAGATAATGAAGCGTGAACTTTCATTATCACTGCCTTTTGGCGTAACGGTTAAGGGACGACAGTCTTGACTACTTACAAGATTGTCTTTAAGGGATGCTACATGAATCGCGTGCGGGCTTATCGCCCCTTTCACGCGCTACCGAACAGGTATGGGCCTTGTCCTGCTGTGCCAGTGGGTGCGACACCTTTCTAGTTTAAGATTAAACGTATGGTTAGCCGCTTTTGCCTACCTGAAGTCAATCTCATGCTGTCACTCCCATCGGCCTGCCTAGCGGCCTCAGCTCGATTCCGCCCAGTGCGCCACACTCCGTTTCAGCACGTTTGGATGAAGGCTATGACTCATGAAGCAGCAAGCAGCCCAGAGCATTAAGTCTTGAGTGTGGAAGCTACAGAAGATTGTTCATAGCACCGCTCCAAGGGCCGAGACATACTTTCACTCAAGACATCCGGTTCTTTATATCCAGGCCTACCAAGCTGGCCGACCAGAAACAGATGGGACCACCTTTTGAAGAGGTGAATATACGCATTTTCTAAGTTATGTATGCTGATTTTTCACACAGGACGTCCAATCGTTGGTTCTCCTCATGATTGAATGACTCAGTTACGCTGGTTGAACGTTTGAGTGGTCTGCACGAGATGCATGCTGACTGTACAATACAGGACTGACTGCATAGCTCACTGAAGGGTATGTATTACGTGGAGCACTGCAGTACAATCGACTTCAGGGCATACATCAAGACTATGAATGCTTGACGTCGAACTGCCACGTATACAACGACCGTACTAGTACTGTTGGTCTTCGCACGGTATAGCACGTCCTATAGGACATGCTGAACATCCTTGAGTACTCAAGTCGCCCTACAACTCCGTCACTCGTTAACAGTATTTTCTTTTTTTACACTTGGGCCCCGTGTCCTGGTTGCATCCCGCCTCGTTCGAACCTTGACCTATTTACCCACGACGCGCAGGTAGGTATCCCGCTGTTGCCGCCAACTTCCTCTCACAATTATTCTTTGTCTAGACCGTTTCTATAGCTCGACAAAACCCATCGCTGGCCACCTCCGACCGTGTCCACTGTCAATATTCCTTGCTATCTCAACCCAACCAACGACGCCTCAAAACCCGTTGAAAATGGGTGACATCCTGCATTCTACACCTCACGGAGAGCTCCCAGATATCCATGACGACTGGAAACCACCCTCTGTTCCTTGCGCTTGGCGTTTCTTTACCATCCTCTGCCGCCTCATTCTCGGACAGCTCAATCTCGAGAAAGTATGGCAGGAGGTGAGACAGAAACACGGCTGGAGGACGTATAGCAATCGCTTGCGCGATATACTCGAGGAGATCATTATGCGCGCGAGCATACTGTTCTTTTCCATTCTGTCTTGCAATACTGACATGTCCGCTTTTGCAGCAAGGACTGGTTGTGTTTGCGGGTTTTGCATGCCTTGTGACCACTCTACCCGTTCAAAACATCGACACCATTAAGAGGGGGCTTTATCTGCGGATGATACTCGTGTCGTGCATCTCGTCCCTTGCGGGATCAGGTTTCTAGCTAGCATTTATGGAGGAATCTGACTCTTTCAAAAAGGTAGGGAATTTCCCCGAAGCATGGATCTCTGTCATCGACCTAACTCATTTGCTCAGGGTTAGAGAGCGTCTAGTTTGGGACGA